AAAAATCTGCTTCCAGTTCTGTTTCAAATGGGTGTTGAGATGTGTCCATAGATCTCCTCATGTTGCTCTCAAAGTGCACCAGATTGATGCTTTTAACATCAATATTTAAAAAAAATCTTTCTGTTATATATCTTTCTGTTTTGGTGGTCATGCCACACCGTGCACGCGCATGCATGCGCGAGTCATGGCAAGATATCTGGATTAAGAGGTTGCTTTTTCTTTGCACAGCATGAAAGAAAGGCCAAATGAATGGGCTGTGATTTTAGTTTTTTTAAGCAGAGGTTGAGTTCAATAATTTGTACGGCCCTCTGAGGATGTTGTACAAATTGAAAGGAAAAAGGTTCCCCACCCCTGCTGTAAATAATAATAAAAACCCTTGATTTATAACTTAACATCTCTGTCTCCTATTGATCTGAGTATATTATAAAGAATAGCCAGTTAATTGAAGCATTATAGCACAGGCCTTTGTCAGATGGTATATTACGCTGTTTTTTTCCTGCTTCGAATATTTCTCTCTTTTTTCACCATACCCGTGTTTGCATCACTGAATATTAAAAAAATCAAAACATTTATTTTCTGTTAGCGTTGGGAAGTAGTTTTCTCATTTTGTTTTTTACCGCCATAGGCTTTATTTATTTATTCCAACCAGTCCTGTAGACAGTCTCTTTGTTTGTTTAAACTACCATGCAATGTTAAGATTTGTTTTTGTTTTTAAATATTTATTTGTTTGCAGACTTTTTTTTAAAACTATACAACGTTTTTTTGTTTTATTTTATTGTTTTCCTTTTTTTTTCTCTAGGCCACAGTTTAGGGTACGGATTTGTTAACTATCTTAACCCTAGTGATGCAGACAGAGCTATCAGTACACTGAACGGACTAAGGCTACAGTCCAAAACTATCAAGGTAACGTGCAATAAGGTGTTCTACAATTCTCAAACCAAAGATGTCATGTCATGTAACTCCTGTGGCTCCTGTGCTGTCCGCTAACTAGCTAGAACATGTCAGTGCGAGGAAGTGATTCTGCTTTTACAGCTCACTTACTGCCCTACCCGACATGTCTGATACGTTTTGATTTTATTTGACACTTTCTGACAAATTCAATGTATTCCTTTAAAAATAACATTTTTTTTGTTGCTGTAATGTTTTGTTATGCTTTTCATTTTTTGCTCAGAGTGAAGATACCTAAAACCGCTGCACAGATTATTGTTTAGTTTTTTATTTTATACTAGAATAGTTTGGAAAAAACCTTGAATTAGTTCATTTTTATTAAAAAAAATACAGATAATTTCTGCTGTGATTCCCGAGAAATGGCTTAAATGTTATTAGATTTGTGTATCATCGTACTTCACTAGTTTTTGTTCGTGTGTAACAGTAGCGTTTTAATCTGGAAATTGTTGCTTCCTGTTGCTAGGTTTCATACGCACGGCCCAGCTCTGACACCATAAAGGATGCCAACCTGTACATCAGCGGCCTGCCGAAGGCCATGACCCAGAAGGACGTGGAGGACATGTTTTCACGCTTTGGACACATCATTAACTCCCGTGTGCTGGTGGACCAGGCCACAGGCACGACAGGTGAATAAACTCCTTACTTTTCCAACTCTTCTCAGTAACATAAAGTGCCTCGATTGGCTGTCGGTCAGAATAGACGGTCACCGCCCGCTCTCCTGTTCCCAGGCGCTTCCCGCGGGGTGGCTTTCATCCGGTTTGACAAGCGGGCGGAGGCGGAGGAAGCTGTCAAAACTCTGAATGGGCAAAAACCACCCGGAGCCGCTGAGCCAATCACAGTGAAGTTTGCCGCCAACCCGAACCAGGTGAAGAACACGCAGATCATCTCTCAGCTCTACCACAACCAGTCCCGGCGCTTCGGAGGGCCCGTGCACCACCAGGCGCAGCGCTTCAGGTGAGAGAAGTTGTTAATGTTTGCATACACTCAGACAGTACATGATGGCTGCCATTGCTCTGTTTTTCTACTAATATCAGAATCTTATGAGCTGAGCAATTGATGATAGCTTAAAGGTCACCTATTATGAAAATCCACTTTTTCATGTGTCTTCTACATCAACATGTGTCCCCTCTTCTTCATGTCTCTTCTACATCAACATGTGTCCCCTCTTCTTCATGTCTCTTCTACATCAACATGTGTCCCCTCTTCTTCATGTCTCTTCTACATCAACATGTGTCCCCTCTTCTCATGTCTCTTCTACATCAACATGTGTCCCCTCTTCTCCATGTCTCTTCTACATCAACATGTGTCCCCTCTTCTTCATGTCTCTTCTACATCAACATGTGTCCCCTCTTCTTCATGTCTCTTCTACATCAACATGTGTCCCCTCTTCTTCATGTCTCTTCTACATCAACATGTGTCCCCTCTTCTCCATGTCTCTTCTACATCAACATGTGTCCCCTCTTCTTCATGTCTCTTCTACATCAACATGTGTCCCCTCT